TCACTTTTGTGGCACTTGATTGATTTTGTTGCTAATATTGTAAGTTGTGGGATCAAATAGCAGTATGTTGAACATACTTTTATCATATACAGCAACACAAGTCTACTGAAATGTATATTGATTTGTATCAGTATTTTTGCTCTATAAAGGTGTTTAAATTTGGGATCAAAATATCTCTCTGTATATAACATATATAAAACATATTTACATAAATATAATATATAAAATATGTATTTATTTGTCTTTCTGATAAATGACATCAACTTATGGATCTGCACTCTTACCTTATGCCTCCAGATAAAAACTGTAAAGCCAGCTTTTCCTGAGTACAAGAAAATCCATCTTGAAACTTTAATTAAAGAATAATCTATCAATGACAAATTACCAGAGGGTGGATATGTCACTCACAGTGTTGGCAAGTCATTTCAAGGAACACAACTGAAATCACAGGAGACTAACAAACTGATCTGGGTATTTGTTTGCACTTAACAGACAGGGGGAACATAACTGATAGGAAGAAATTTCAAGATGGTTTCTATATTAAAGATTAGTTTTAAATTTCTTCACTCTGGAAGAAAAAGGAGGCACTCAAGCAAGTTTGCATCTTTTGAAAAGTATGTAAGCATTTCACTTAAGAAAACCCTATCACTTCACACGTTTAAAGCTACCAGTGTTTTTTCAGTTGCGTTTGGGTTCATGAAGTCTCCACACTGAGTGAATTCCTGAGCAGCTTTTTATTTGGCTTCATAAAGACGGTTCTTGTAACCCTATATCAATGTTGCAATGTTTTTTGCCCAGCTGATCAGTAAAAGTTCTTTAAAAACCTACCGATTACAGTTCAATTTCCCCTTGAAATTTCAAACTCTAGATAGCTAAGCTGGACAGACAAACTTAATGCATAGTTTTGGTTAGGTTTGGGGGTTTGTTTAGGTTTGTTGGGGGGTTTTTAGGGGGCATGGGGTCGTGTTGGTTTGTTGTTATTTTGGTTGGTTGGTTGTTTTGCCACGACTGACTTACCCAGAGTTACAGAGGGAGATGATGTTAGAGACAGCTGGTATTAAAGCATTGTCTTGAGAAAGGTGTCCTAGTTTGAGATCCAGACATCTGGACATCATTAACCATTGCTGTTCACGCATGATATTTTACTCAGACTAAATCAGGAGACAGACAGTAAATTATGTCCTGTAGTCAGTGGGAAAAAATCTGGGAAAGTGTATAAGTGATCATGAATGGAAGTTTCTAGCAGGTTCAGCTGTGGGGTAAGGTCAGTGAGGAGACAGATTTAAGAAAGGAAATCACACCTTGGTGATTTTCCTGGCTTACAACAAGGATGCTCCACCTAAGCTCGTCAGAAGGGAAGTGGTGTTAAGGTACAGAATGTTGAGCTGTGTGTGAAGAGATTTTGCAATATAAATGTTAAGCTACTTTGTGGTTTTGTTTGCTGTTATTTTTTATGTCTATCTCTAAATAATATTCTGGGAAGGGGGGAAAGTATAGCATTACTTGATTCAGTTTCAGTTGTCATTGTGAAATGTTAGGTTAATGGCTGTCAGGCAGTCAAATATTACGGGAGTTTGCTTGTGTACTTCGTGAATTTTGCCAAAGATTATAATGTCATCAATACCATTAGGGACATTGGGTATGTACTGAATTACTTTGTGGATTACACTTTGAAAAGTTTCAACAGCTGAGTCATTCTTCCATTGTACTCAGTATCTCAAATCTTTATGAATTTGCTTCCTGGACTTGGGTTGATAACTCAAGGAAGACCACTAATTCAGCAGACCTTCAGATATTCTATTTTAAGTTTTAGCTCCTTGTAGTCATACCTTTATAGAGTTTCCTAGTCTTCAAGGAGCTTTCTGAATTTGTGCAATGTCAGGAAAGTCTATGCTATTGCTCCATACTTGGGCAGAAGGATTAAACAGGATTCAAAGATGACATCAAAATTGGAAGTGTTTTATAATTCTGAAAAAGTTTGAAAAAGAAAGGAAAGGAAAGGAAAGGAAAGGAAAGGAAAGGAAAGGAAAGGAAAGGAAAGGAAAGGAAAGGAAAGGAAAAAGGAAAGGAGCCCTTACTGTTATCTTTCAGTATGAAGAAAACTGTGAAAACCTAATAAGAGAAGGTGAAGAGTGAATTAAGGGGTTTTGGTTTTCAGTTCTAAGATATGTTAGTAAAAGATGTAATGCTTTCACAATGTTGTTCTCTACCTAATCCATCTTTTTCTTCTGTGCACACCTGAACACCTATAGGTTACCAGATGTTCAAACTGGAAGGAGGTAACACCCTTGTATGGAGGGTTTTGCTTTTCTTCCTTTCCGGACAAACAGTTCATGGCTTTTATTGGTTCAGCACTGAATAAAGCCATCAGAATTCGTGGTCATATCCATTACATATGGAAAAACCTCAGGCATTTCAGTTTCTGATCAGTGTATCTATTTCAATGGATTTGTTCACAAACTTTGACCTGATTTCACTAATACCTAGTCTTTTGGGAAAAATCATGCTTGCACCTATTCATATTCTCCACACAGACAAAATAACATTGAAATCTATGTGCCAAATAGTGGAATTCCCACCCTTTTCCTTGGGATACACCAAAAATTAATTGTGCAGAATTCCAGGCTTCTTCTTTCCCCCCAAGTGCCAGAGTTCACTGTCCAGCCATAACAGAGTACTTTTAAACTGCACTGATATTTGTTTCAATTCTCTGTGTTTTCTTTGTTAGTCTGACAGTTGGGTAAAATCTCATTGAGCTTGTGGATATACACGCTGTCCTTCAGTCGTGGTAATCATAAGAGGTAAATCTGTTCTCAATGTGTATCTATGTGTGCACACAGCAGAATCATAGCAGATGCAGACAGCCTAAACAGTCAAAGGATCACTTGCAGAATAAACCCAAGAAAAAAAGATCTTTCCGGACATTGTGCTGATGAAAACCTACCCCTGGAAAAAAGAAAAACCCAACCAAAACAAACCAAAACCAGAAGAGAAGTTCTCTGTTGTGAGATTTCTGATGTGTTCAAGAAAACCTGAGTTTTAGTACAGTTTTGTAAAATGAGATTGGTTTAAAAACCCATTATTGTAATTAACATTGCTTTCTATAAGAAGCAGCAACAAGCAGAAAGATACAGAACACTGATGTAAAGAAGCAGTGTTTAAAAGAACGAAAGGATGAAAGAACCAAAGAATCAAACTCTCACAAAGAAAAAAAAAGGATACTACTAATACAGTCTTATTGTTTCTGTGCTACCAGCTACCTTTGATATTTATTTGGAGGTTTTAGGTTATTCAGTGTCAAAAAAGCAGGTTGATTTTTTTTGTCAAAGAAATCAATGCACTCAATGACAAAAACGACATCAAGGAGTCCACCTCACAATTTACTATCAGTAATTTTGAGCAAAAGATTTTTCATAAAATAGAAATTATTAATGTGAGCCATTCAAAATGAAAGCAAAAACTGATTGAGGAAAAAAAAATATTATGGAAGTGTGGTTTATGGAGAAATGAACAAGTAAAATCTCCAAACAAGATTGTTGATATGTAGAGAGAGAGATGGTGGGAGGGAAAGGTTGTAGGGGGTTTTGTTTTGTTTTAGCTTTTATTTTGAAACATTTTCCTCATAATTTACGTTCAAATTCACTATGTGACTGTCAAAGATCTTCATTTGTCTTCATCCTTTATTTCCATTCCTCAGCCTAGTATTTTTTCAAGATCTATCTTCAGTATAAAGAGCTTACAAAAGCACTTTTTGCAAGTAGCAAGAAAATACAGGTAAGCCATGGTGCTCCATCAGAAACTATTAAGTTTCAGCATCCTTCATACTGATTAGCTTTAAGGTAACTGAGACCATCTAATTCCTCACTGGGCCAAGAACTTTAGTTTTTCAAAGTTTATCATCAAAACTTCTATCTATCTGCAGTAACAACTTGAGGAACTGAGTGACTTTCCATCTCATTTTCTACAGGGTGCTGAACATATTCTTTATAATAATAAACTTAAACCTGTCCAGGATAGTCTTATGAAAATAGAGCATTCCATTGGCTATATAAGAGAGTATGAAAGCTGTTCCCCATTTTCTGGTCAATTATATCGACTGTGATTCTGAGATTTTCAAATGTATTTCTCCATTTACTCAAATTATACTAAGCATGATTGTTAAGATGATTGTCTTGGACTTCGAAAGACATGAAATGAGCCAGCTCACTTGTAGTTGTGTCAAAGTTAATTAATTTTTCTAAATCTAAAATGACTGCAGATGCATTCTGCTTTCTGTTTTGAATTAAAAACACTTATTCACCACTGGGTTATTCCTAGTTTGTATTGATTTTAGATTCAAAGTGTATTAACTTCAATTCTAAATTTTCTTTTAACCTGTAGAAAACATGGAGGGATCACAAACTCTGCTTAGAAACTTTCCCAAGGGCCTCATTCAAAGCTTAACGAAACATTCTCAGTGACTTAATTTCACTTGATGTCTTTGAAGAACCCGCTCTTTTATCCTTCAGGTTGAATTTTGGGGGAATGTTTTTATTCAAATGCAAAGTACCCCAAACAAAGTGTAGTCTTCTTTCATCTGGAATTATTTGAAGTTTTGCAAATGCCTAAAAGCAAAAACAGCAACAAAAATAAAAAAGCAGGTATTTAAACATAATTTTCATTTAAAAAAATAATAATCTTTGGTGGGTTAGCCTTGACTAACAGCCAAAATCCCACCCAGCTGCTCATGTAATCCCCTCTCTCAGTGAGATGAGGGAGAAAATAGGAAGAACAAGAAAGACCACAGAATCATAAAATCTTAGAAAGCTTTGGGTTGGAAAGTACCTTGAGGTCATCCAGTTCCACCCCCTTGCCATGGGCAGGGATGCTTCACACTAAACCATGTCACCCAAGGCTCTGTCCATTGAGATAGGGACAGGGAGATCCCTTATCAATAATCTTTGTGGACAAAACAGCCTTAAACTGAGAAAAAAAAAAAAATATATTTAATTACTGATTCAGGTGCTGGTAAAGACAAACATTAAAACAACATTTCTCTTCCTTTCTACAGAGTCAGTGACACCCCTTCTCTCCAGTGACCGCCACCGAACAATGCTGGGCATAGCGGGCAGTCACAAACAGAATGCAGCAGCTTCTCTCTGCTCCTCCCTCCTTCTCACATCTTTGCTCCAGCATGTGCTCTTCATGGCAGCAGCTCCTTTGGGAATAACCATGTGCAATGGCATGGGATTCTCCATGGTCTGCAGCAGACGCCTGGTCCAGTGCCAGGTAATACCTTCTGCTCCTCCTCCTTCTTATCCTTCTCCTCCTCTTCCTCCTTTAACATGCAAGAGCACAGGCATGGGCACAAACACAGGCACAGACATGGGCATGGGTATGTCTGTCAGTACCAACCTCTTTGATGCCTTATGTACTGCGCATCTCACTAGTGCACAGATGCACTTGCAGAGAGAGAAACATGCTGGTATTTAGTCCAGGAACTGTCACACACCTCAAACGATTGTCATCAGCACGGTCCAACACCTGCTTGCTGGACTACCTGCAATGAACTCGACAGTATCAATCTAAACCTAGTGAGACAGAAACCATGTGACCAGAAAAGACACAAGTAGGTTTGATGCAGTAATTACCCCTATGATAGCTCTTCCTAGGTAAGGCAAATTGGTGATGACAATGTAGGGAAATTTGCCTCTCTAGCACTATTTCCTGAATAAAATTTCCCATAGCTGTCAATCAGGCCATTTTACCTTCACACTAAATTAGCACCATTTATTTTAACAGTGTCTTTTGTGCAATGCTGAAAGGTGAACCATATTTTGATTCAACCTTGTGAATATTCTGTTGTGTTAAAAGTTCCTATTTTTGTGTAGGCTTTATTATTTCTTAACTAAGTTTTAGACATACGGTCTTTAATTTCTCAGCCTGGTCCTGATCTGTAAACCGTAGCCTAAGAAGTACTTTTTACTCTTTTTACTATGTAATTAAAGTGAACAATAGTTTTACTTTGATCAGAGTCATATATATTTCCTTTTCATTTTACTGTGTAGCTGTAAGGTGCTGTCTGCTTCATGTAGCACGTACCATACCTTGATATTTTGTTTTATTAAAAGAGAAAATGCCTTTTAAAATGACTGTTGTATCTCTCCCAAACTGTCAATATGATGCTGTAAGACTGAGTGATGCATGGGACATTGCATAGACTTGTTAATGCTACAAGCAATTTTACAAAAAGAATAGGGCAACATAAAGCTGAGTATTTCAAAAGTAATATCCAGGCAAACAATTTTCCTTCTCAAAACAGCAGCTACAAAATACAGTGTGCTAAAACAGGATATGCCAGGAGCTGGTCACTGAGTGCAAGGATGATTTCTAATTCCTATCCATCATGAAGTTTTAAATATTCTCAGTTGTATTTCCAGTCCTAGTCCAAAGACTTATCATCAAATAAAAGTCTTAGTTACTGCCTGGGACAAAGACTGTACTCCATGTTTCATCTTTCAGTGTTCTGATCCCTTCACTGAAGGGTTATGCTCCTTAAGAAGCTTGGAAAAACTCCTTAGAAAGCTCTTTCAAGAAGCAATATTATGCTCACTGTTCTCCTCCTTCCAGCCCCGCATTAAATGGGCTGCGTTTGTTTGGCAAAAGAACATGGAAGGTAGCAAGGCTTCTGTCTGACATGTTAGGCCTTATCAGTCAGACTTGTCTCTAGGCTTCCATAAAGGATGCTCTGAAAAGTATTGGCCATGTGGGTTCCAGACCTGGAAATGCAACAGAGGTTTCCTGACTATCTGAGAAAGGGATAGCTTTGGAAAAATTAAATAGTAAAGCAAGAACACTTACATTATTAGGTTTATCATAGGTTAATAACCTTGGCGGTAATGATTTTTTTAATTATTTTTAAATATTTCAGGTTTTCTTCGCTGTGTTATTTTTTCTTGTATTAACATTAGCTAATCTGGCCCCATAAAACAAACTAAACCATTACAATGAGACTTGAACACAGTACATTTAGCCAAGTACCTAATTCTTCTGTGTCTGCTACATTCTTTCTGAGCCATCCAAATGCATAAACTGTGGTCTTTATAAGCCTGAAACTCTCTCAGTGCCTGAGATTTCATCATCTTCATGCACAGATGCAGACCACTTTGACTCGCTTGAACTACTTGGTGAGCCTCAATCTCCTTTCAGAGACAGGATCTAGCAGCGTCATTTGTGTTTCCTGGCAAGTCAGTGCCAGGTTCACATCTGGAGCCTGCTCAGCACGTTACAAGTAAGACACACTTATGGTTTGAAATGATGCTGGTATCACCCACCTGCCTGTTAGTGAAGGATAAGGAAGGACACCCCTAGGTCAAAAATGGTCCACAAGTTGCTCCACCTGGCCACTGCCTTCTTGGAGACAAGAAGAAGAATTTGTGCAGAGCTCCCCCTGCACTCACCCTGGCACATTCAGATAGGCTCCATGCCGGGTACAGCTGGGAAGCATGAGCATCTGCTGGCACAAGGATAAGCAAAACAGATAGTCGCTGATGAAAAAGAAGAGCAAAGTAATTTGCTACCACTGTGCAGGGAGGTGGATCACCCGCTTGGACAGATGTTTGAAGGTGTGCAGGTGGCCAAGAGGAGCAGATGTTTGCACCACGTGGGCAGGTAAGTGTCTGTGTTTCTGTGCACGGAGGAAGGATGAAGCATCCTTGTAGGAACAGAGGGGAGAAGAGGCTCTTGTAGGGAGGTGTGGCAGGTGCTGCTCTGGAGTCATCAGAAGGAAGGACTTCCACAAGCATACCTGGCACTACCTAAAAGCTGGATCACCCTGAACCCTATAACCTATTGGTAATTGTACTGTATAACCTCCACTTCATGAAGTGCCTGAGCTCTTTATTAAATTTCACCTTAATCAGTCTGACCTCAGCTGAGCTTTACATAACTGCATGGGACACAGGCTTGTAAGACTGGGAAAATTTAGTAGAGTCTCAGAGGTATCAAGTAAACCTGAAACTACTTTAAATTTGTAACTTAAGAAGCCTCTTCTTTCTGGTCTCTTGGTTAGAAAAAGAATAATAGATGTCTATGGAAAATCTCATTTAGGGCTTTTTTCTTGTGAGTGCTCAGATTTTATTCCATACCACTTTATTCACCCTTTATTGAGACTTTTCATCAGACATACAAATTGGATAATGTGAGGCCTCTTTTTAAAAAGTGAAAGAAGCGAGTGAGCCTTTGCTAGTGAGCAAACCTATTAAATCAGCTTCTGTGTAGAAGTAGTTTTCAGCATTAGCAACTGGATACCACCCATTAGCGTGACTTAGTGCAGCTGTGAAATGCTGCCAAACTTTCCTAATACAATTATTATGTAGCAGCATTGCATAAAATAAACCAGGGCTGCCACTGTAAGCTCTCATTTGTAACAATTCTGTTTTCAAAAGCTGATGAAGACCATCAGGAAATTCTGTGGTACAAGGTAGATCTGGGAAAGCTCAAAGAGTCCCATGGGAACAAATAAAAACCGCTGCAGTACAAGACCTATCAAATTAAAAGCCTTTTGCATTTCTGTGTTGGTGCTTGCTTTCCTAGAGAAAAATGACAAAACATTCTTTTCTCTGCAATTAAATAAATATGAATTCCCAATATTTGCATGTTACAAATCAGGCTGCAGAAATTTATTGTAGTTTTCTTGCTGAGTACTCAGAAAAATAATTGTTCACGGAAGTTTGTTGATTTAAAAAAAGATAAACTTTCTGTTAGTCTAAGTGAGGAGAAAAAACAGATGGGGGCTTTTAAATAATGGTGGTGGTTTTTTTTTTCTACAGAAGCCAGGAGACTGTACACTGTATGTGTAAACAGATGGTTCAGAAGAAACTCACCTGAGTATAACTTTAAATAAAGACCTGCAAATTCAGTCAGGAGCTCAGGAAGGATCCTTAAGACTAAACTGCATTGAGTTAGTCCACTAGATCTTTAAAATACATGTCACTCCAAAATCTGAGGCAAGGACTTCGCTATGCAATGTTAATATTTAATACATGTACTTATATCCCACACACTCAGGTAATAAGGAAGGGTATATTGCTTCCTCGCCTGTTATCGCATTTAAGGTTTTATAACTTGTGGTCACATTTTGAAAGCTTTGCTCAGGGCAGACCCCTGCTGCTGCAAACAAACCTTTATCTGTAACCACCTGAAGTGGAGGGCTTGTGCAGCTTTGTTCCCTTTCTCATTATTTTCTAACCCGTTCCTTGCAGACCTTGGCTCTTTCACCATTCACTTAATTACTAAATATCACTTGCAAAAACAGATGAACTAATAAAAAATATTTGTTCATTACATTCTTTTCAGTCAAGTCATAACATGTACCTTTTTCATATTTGTTTTCCTTCCTATTCTTTGACTGCTAATAAGTAACACTGCTAGCTAAAAACTATATTATGTAATGATGTTATGATTTTATCACTCATTCCTGTGGTATTTAAAGCATTCATCTTTCAGGACAGCATTTCATCCCACTGAAACCTTTCACTTCTTTACTGAGGAAGATCTTCACAGGATAGTGTTTGCTCTACCCTTTTGTGTTAAGAGAGATGTGAGGAGCCAAACATATTCTGAAGTGTTATATACTGTAACTCACATTTTGTTATTAACGAGTTATGCTGGGGTTCTATCCTTGTTATAGGAAGAGCAGGATCAGCATTGGTGGCTTTAGACCTTGCAAATACTTAGCTGACCCAGTTAATTTCAAAGAGAAAAGATAGGGATCTCCAGAGCCCAAAACCTGGACAGTTTGTTTGCTAGACCAAAGATTTTCTAGAACACTGCTGTATTCTTGCCAAAAAGACCACATGGTTTTAACCTGAAAAGCAAAGGTGATGGCTATGGAGCTATTTCTACAGTCAGTTTGTCAAAAAATCTCAGTTCTTTCAGCAAATCCACATGATGAAGCAGATGTGATCTCATAGTTCCACCAAAAGGTAAACATCCTTTCCCACCTTCCCCCTGAGGCTGTGGAGTCCTGCCAGCTAACTTTTGCCACTGTGGACCACTGTGCCACTTTATCTCACTAAGCAACTGGAATAGGATGTGGATAGAATTCTGCTGGGTTAGTGAGCTCCAGCAAGGAAGGAAGCACCATGACCTGGGCAAGGGCAGAGATTATTTAATGGCCTTACTTGTTAAGTGAAAGAAGAAATTGGAGTTGAAAAAGCTTAGATTGGCTCAGGATCTTTCACGACTGTTTACAAAAGAACTGAGGTGCTATTTTTCCCCTTAATCTGCTCAAAAAAGTCCAAGATGACAAAAACCCCTAGGACATTTACAAGGGAGTTCTTTGCCTTTAATTCTGTGTAAGGATCCCTGAAGCACAAATTCTATCTTGTGTTTGAGCAGAATTAAAACGAGACACAATAAAAGGAAGGATTGCTGAGGAGTGAAAAATACTATCTCATCGCCTGGTTGTACTTATTTTCCCATTTGAAGTCCGTATCTCTCCAAGTACTGTAAAGGTCAATTACATTACAAATGTGATCATTTTTCTGTTTTAATTAGCTTCATATGCATAGTTGCATTTATGTGAAATTTTACTATAATTATTCCTGCAATCTGGTAACTTCCCACCACCCCAGCTGCACAGAGTTGCTGTAGAGTCAAACTTGACAGGAAATGTGGGAGTTAATTTTGTCTATAGGGGATCCTAAGTTGCCATAGAGATGGTAAAAGCCCTGGTTCTTTGTATTTAAAGGAAAAATCCCAGAGAAATGGTAGGAGCCAGAGGAACTGTGTTTTTCCAATGGTCTCTAAAAGTTGGAATGGTTGCATGAGTCAGAGACACCCAGGTGCATCATAGAACATGTCAGGAAGCACTGATAGAAGGTGTTGAATCACAACCTTTGATGCACTCAGTTCTGGGGAGTTGCAATAGTGGAGGAAAATTAGCTGGTCTTCAAATACTCAGAGACTAACCTTCTGTAGCCATAGAGGAAATGTTATTGGTTCAGGCACATCTCAGGAGAAACAAACTTTAGACACTCTTGCTGCAAGCTCCAGGTTTACTGGAATAAACCTCTGAATTCTGATGCATGGATGTTTGAACAGAAGACAGAGTCACTGTTATTCTCTTTCTAATGTCCTTTTTTTATTACTTTCCAAGCTTTGATTCACAAAGCATGCTTCTGGTCATAAAAATTGCTACGGGGTTTGTGCCAATCAAAATAAAATGATGGGGAGTTATGTCGTATGTATACCACAAATCACAGCTGTAAGGGGATACAGAGAATTTGGACCCTCAGAACAACTTTGTCACAAAATTTTGAAGAGACCTGTATGTAATCTGCATATATTCTCCTGTCTGTGTAGAATTAAGATTTAGTTACAGAAAGTATATCTGTTTTCTTGTTATTTATAGGGGAATATCTGTACATTTTGCCATGGTTAAAGCTATATTTGACTTACATTTTCTTTTGGCAAACATCACAGTAAGTGAATCAGCTTACAAACTGCTCTCTTTAAGGTAAAGATTTGGGGAACACTCTTTAACGCAGCAATCTCTTCTCTACATCCATGGGCACAACCTACTTCTAAAGATTCAGATTAGTTGTCGACCATAGATCTTTGATAGACAATAACATAGACCAAGATACACCTTTTATTCTTCTATTTGTTCTCAGGTTTTTTCTTATGTAAGTGGACTTTAAATTATAAAATGCACCTTTTCTTAGTCTAGCATTTTTAAAATGGTGAATTTAATGTATCCTTAGTATTTGTGGGATTTCCTTACCTCCAATAATTTATTACTTGCTGTAGACTCAACCTTGAGAAACTTTATTTCAAACTGGAAGCATGTTGTAATGATCACATAGGGAAATACAAATAGGTAGTAGAAATCAATAGGTCAAACACTATTTTCTCATGTAAGTCTGCAAGCTCAGAACGTAGCCATTGAAATCAATATATTTATTCTGGATTTACTGCTTTTTCAATGGATAGCCTGATGCAAAGATCTAGGTTTTGGATTTCTTAGAATTTATTTGCTGTATCACTTGCCATACAATGAAGTTTAGGCATCACTTCAAAAAGATTCAGGGCAAAAATCAGAGTAGATAAATCAACCCTCTAAATATTTAAAAAGAAAGCTATCAGTAAGTGTCTGAGTAGATTGAGAGGGAAACAATGGTGTAATTGAAGAAAAATTGGTATCCACAACGAATTGTTTAATTCTCATTTGTAATACACATTTTCTTTATAGTTGGGATAATTCAAGAGAAGAAAGTAAGATATTATCTGCTCAACAAAAGACATACCAGACTTGATAGCTTACCCTTTCATAACACACACTAAATTGTATGTGTAAAGGTTTCTTACAATACTTTCAAAAACCAAATTAAGAAAAAATTAGTTCTAGATCAATATAGATTGTGTTCCAGAAGATACGATTTAACGGATTAAAAACACAGTTAAAGCATAGTTATGATAAGTGATAAATCCAGGAGAACAAAAACTTATCTCTATTAAATGGGGAAAAGCTACACGATGTAGATAAAAATTTGAAAGTTAAAATAATGTATCAAAAAGTAAACAGGCCTTGGTGTTGTCAGTGCTTGAACAGAAGAGCTCTAAGAAAAGATTATATGCTGCAGGAAGCTATTTGAATCAGTGACCCTCTGAGCTAGTACTAGAATAATGTTGCACCTCTGGATTAGGGAGGAAGCCATGGAGCCATGACTTGTCAACATTTATAGACGTTATTGAAAATGCCACTGATTTGTGCTTTGGGTTTGTTTTTTCTCACCAGCCAAGTGTGTTAATTCTGGTTCCCTGGATAATTTCAACAAGTGAGTTATATTGAAGGCTTTATAAAATAAATGATGTGACTTTTTTTATTCTGAAATTATAGCCTTTTTCTGCCTTGTTTCAAAATTGTTACTGCAAGGTCAGATTAAGATAGACAAACTAATTTTATCATCCTAATTTTATCATCCTGTTAAGAAACTTTTCCTTATCTTTCCCACATAAGGCAAAGCAAAGACTTTTTTTAGAAAACTGTATTATTTAGAAAGGCCTAGCATTCTCACAATTTGGAATTTGAATTAGATATATAGTGTGGCCTTTTTCAGAGATCTGACTTTTGCTGTCTCTGTAAAACTCTACAAAAGTTGTTACTCCTTTGAATATCTCTGTTTGCTCATGCTTGGTAGTGATCTTTTTAATTTTTTAACAGTTATATATTCCCAAAGAATACCATCTGCCCTGGCAATGCTCCAGCCAGGGCTGAGAATGAGCTTCCCTGCAACTGTCTTCTAAGATGCTTCAGGCCATGCCTGGTCCAGCAGCTGCACTGAAAACTGAGTCTGTTCCAGAAAGAATCTAGTGCTCTCAGTGACATCCTACAAAGGACTCACGGGGGATGTAGTAAGAAACCTCCCATATTCAAATACACAGGAGATAAAGTCTAGCATTAGTACGAGAGAAAGGATCCCAGGGTAAAGCATGGAGAGACAGAGACTGGGATGGCAGCCTGGGGTGGAAAGGGCTATTGCTCTTGACGTGTAATGGGAGAAGAACATGGGCCTGCAAGGCAAGTCATGGTGGCATAGGTCTGAGTGATGACAACAGAGAGATGTGATAGCGGTCTCTAAGGAAAAGTCTAGGACTGGAGGCTAGAAGTGGAATGGGAGAGCACAAGAGAAACTGAATGAGAAAGCAGAGGTGGATACTGCATATGACTTATGAAACAAGCTTATTGTGTGACCTCGGGGTCATGTAACTTCCACACACTGAATCAGTTCCTGCAGTTTTAATGATGTCTAGACGAGAGGGGGAAGCCAGAAGCACCAACTCTAATCTTCGCCTCTTTGTTTCTGAGCCTGGCACTCTAATCCCATTGGGATATCTGCCCCATCACTTAGACAGATCTGGCTTTTTCCCCTAAGACTTTCCCTCAGAGGTTAGCTTACCTCTTTCCTGGCCTTGAATGATTCATCCTCCTCAGGAATTTTTCTCATTTTTGACCATAAATCTCCCAGCAGACCTGGCTCCAAGTCAGAAGTTTCTTTCATCTCACAACCTGTACACTCATTCTCTTTATCTGTGAAGACACCGTTAACACTGGCACGGGCAAAACTTGAACTCCTGACCGAATCTATTTTGGTATTAACCAGACAACTCAAGTGTGCAAAAAACTCCACACTATCAGAAAATGACCACTAGCAAATGCACCCAAATTCTTCTTAAAAGCAGCACAGAAAAATGTTCTCTTAAAGGCAGATGGAGTCATTATAGTTGCTTAGTTCAACAGTCTACTTAAAACAGCTTCCAGAAGTTTAGCATGCAACCACTGACTCAGGTAGCATATCTCCTTTAGAAGGACACACAGTTAAAAAAATCTATGGTGATTTTTTTATTTGTGGGGGTTTTTTTGTTTGTTTTGTTTTTTTTATCTGAGGAGAAGGGAAAATACATGGAAAAAGAGGCAAAAATTATAAACAGCATAGGCAAAGAGTGCAAATAACAAGACATAGAAATGTGAATCCTATTTCTTACTTCTGAGTATAACTGTGAGCAAGCCTGCTGATTTTTCTATGCCTCTTTTCCTCCAGCAGTATTGTTTTATTTTTCTTCATTTAGCCATGTGGAAAGCAAAGACATAGTTAGGGTGTATGTTTGGAGACATTTGTAAGAATATAGTTTATATATGACTGAAACAAAGCCCACTCCCAGCCTGTGGTGCCAACCTCTCCCTGCTTGTATTGCCTGGGGTCTGAGAAAGCTCTTAGCAGCAACCTTTCCACCAACTACATGGAAGTGAATGTAAAATCACTTGTGATGAGCTTGCAGAAGAGGTGAGAACTGATGGCACGGAAAGAAAAAAAGCTGACTGCAGGTGCTACTCTACTTGGCAAAGGGGTACCATTCAATCACAATGTGCTTCATTCTGTCTCACCAAATGCCAGGTAACAGACTCAGAAACACAAGTTAAGTCCAGAGAATGGAGTAGTTTGTCTTGGAAAGCAGTGATTCTGAAAGGAATTTAGGGGTCACTGTAGATACACGACTCTAAAAACCTTTATGTGGTGCTGTGGGAAAAGAGTTAATGCCATCCATGGGTACATAAACACAGGAGTAGAAGGATGTTAGCTTACCTCTGTGTGATTGTTATTGCAATAGTCTGCTGTTCTGGTCTCCATATTTTTAAAGGATGTTGGTGAGGGTGCTAAAAAGAGCCATAAAAATTATTTAATGGCCAGACACTTAATGACTTACAGCAAGAAATTTAAAGCACTCATTTTATAAAGCTTATAAATAGGAAGATTGAAAGGTGATTTGATAATGGTTTATAACCACATACGTAGGGGAAAAACACCAGGGAACAAAAGGTTCTTTAATCTACTGTGGAAAAAAAGAAATATAGAAAGAATTGAGTACTGAAAGCTGAAAATAAAAAATACACTACATACTTTTTTAGCTGGAAAAGTAAAAATTAATGAAAATTTGCAGGATCAACTCTTGCTGACCTTAGATCTAGGCTGAAGTCCCCTTCAGAAACTGGCTGTAAGTGAAGAAAATATTTTGAATTGTTAATGTAAGGGGAAAATGAGAAAAAAATTATGGTCCTCACCAACTTCCAATATTTTATTATTATTTGCTTTTTAATTGGCACGGCATGGGAAACAGACTGCTGTATTATTTGGTAGCTTTATTGAGCCTCAGGATCATAGGTTTTCGGTGAGTGGGACAATGCAGAGGGCATAGTGTTAATATTCAAACCAGCTGGCTAGAGATGTGAACTTAGCTACAGGAAAAAATAGGTGAGACATGACAATGATTTGTACAGATAGGCTGAGATAATGGACATAGAGTGGATATAAGAAAAAGTTTGCCATCACATTTGTAGGACTTGCCAGAAGATACATAGCAAACATCACCTCCTTTTCAAACATTTATTTCAAAGGAATTGGACCCAATCTGTTTAAAGGAAAGAGCCTTTTTGGTGTTTAGATCATATCCAGACTGAGTATTTACTTCTGAATTTCATCAACTAAAAGAACACCGAGCTAAAATGTTAAGAAAAAAACTCAAAAGAAAACTTCTTAATCTTTGTAAATAATTCTAGTGGGTTTAGTTCGTTTAAGTTTTACTCATTTTGCTGTTCCCTTGTTTTCACCTTTCTTTTTTTGCTTCCTTCCTGCCTTACTTTTCTGGGTATTTCTGTATGTCCTACACATGGAAGCCTGGCTTCTCTGACAGAGGTGTGCTCTTGTTGCAGCTGCTGTCCCCCAGGCTGTCTGCTCTGATTGACCGCACTTCACCTTACTGTTGAGACAGGAGGAGACCCTGGTCCTTTAAGAGTGAGCCAATAATTCATAATGAATAGCTGATTTGGTTAATTTCACTCCCTCCTCCCTGCTTGTGAGTTATTTATGATTCCCATAAATACACTTGCACTTTACTTCAAGTCTTCAATGTCTGACATTTGAACTGTGCTATCTAGTTTAAAGTAAGCATTTCTCGTATACTTTTCTATCACATGACTGAATTCCTGGGATTCACTTTTCTTAACAGCTTAGGATAGTCTATCAAAGAAAATCAAGTCTCCTGTCACACACACTGTGTGATCTCTGACAACCATGGTCACCTTTCTCTACCTTAGGTGTAAACTGGAGACAACAGATTCCTACTCACCTTTCAAACATGGATTTCTGTAAGAGTGTCCTGGGGTTTTTTCTTCCCTCCCCCCACTCACGTTTCTGAGTTCTTCCATATTCTTGATGTTTCCTTGCAAATTCAGGTCCTTTCTCACCTGGCTACAGAGAAGATGCTGCCTCCTTGCCTATTACCTTCTCTGTAGTTATGATTGCTTTCTGGTGCAGGGAAACTACTTGAGCAACAAGCAGGGACAGAGTCCGATCATTTCATTGTCTGATCCTTCTCTGAAATCAGAAGTTTAATTGCCCTGTGGATTTTTCTGATTTGACCCTTGCTGTAGCATCTAAGTACTTCATATGCCATACCATAACACATTTTTGCAGCTGGAAAAACACCAACATTCAGAGATTAAAATTAAAAGCATTCCCTAATTTTAGAATTTCCAAATTATGCCTTCTTCTCTGGATGGTTGTGTATTATCTACAAAATCAGTTGTGCCACATAGATACTGAGTCTTCTTGGTACTATCAGTGGTGCTTATGTACTTCTGCTCTGCCACCTCCCAGAATTAATCTCCTCATGTCAGATTTAGGTCAGTTTAATGCTCCTGAGAAATAGTAAGCATTACTCTTACACGGCTCAGAAAATGAAGTCATATGCAAATGAATGGGAATCAGATTGCAGTGAAACTGTTCAGACAAAATTTATTAGTCTCCGGCACATCAATCAATGGCTGTGCATAAAAGATACGTATCTGAGTGATCCTGCATCTTTCATAAAGCATAAAATTTACAGTACCTATAATATCCTTCTGCATAAACTTAAATGTGAATTGTCAGTGTTTAAAATTATCTAGAAAATGGCCTGCTCTTATAATTATTAAAGCAAATGTATAAACCCTGGATGGCAGAAAACACAATTTTACTGCTATTAAGAGACAATTTAATATATGAAATCACATTAGCATGCTCAAAAGATGGCTTTCAATCATTCATATGAACATTACAAACCTGTTCTATGGAACTTCAAAAAAGGATGGGTGATTTTTCAGAGATGAACCTTTATGAGTAGATTCCTTGCGCGTTGCAAGTAGAATAGAACAGCTTATCTGATGTCCTGGGAAACCATCAACTATACAAACTTCCTTCATATACCAAGGAGTGAAGCTACTTATATAAATCTGATAGAAAAATTTTGTTTGGGACTAAAACCAATTTCTGGATCTCATTATTTAATATTGATTAGACGCTTCTCTCCCACTTCAGGGGCTGGGAGGCAGGGAGGAGAGGGACGTGAAAGAATTTTGTTCATGGGGGCCCTCAAACATTGTGACAAAATGGGAGAGGACCTAGACTCACAGCTTCCTCTGCCTGGAGGAGCTCAAACCATTGACCAGTCTGGTATCCTAGCCTCCAAACCACTGGATATCTGGAGGGGAGAGTGCAGACATATTAAGTACAGACCTATCTGGAAATGTCTGCTTATATGCCCAAAATTTCCTCTATAGACCTGGTCATTCCTCTGATGTCTCTCCCAAAGCCGCAGCCATCTCCCATAGTATTTCTCAAGAAGACTTCATCCTCTCTTCTTTAAAGAGAAGTTTAGAAAACTTCCCTGACCTATTCTCTCTTTCCATTTGCGCTCCTGCCATATAGATACATGACAACCTAGACTATTCCAGTTGGTACAATACCTACAGTTTTTGATATAACTCTAAGGCTGATGTCTGTTCTTTGGGGATGTAATTCAAAGTCCAGAAATAATACCAGCAGGAAAACTTACTTCCAATAGCATAGACGTGATCCTGAATTTTGAGGGTTGCCTGGCTGTTGTGTATGTTTACTAGTATACTGCTTCTGTAGAAGTGCCACATTTTCTTGGTTCAAGAGAACCTGCATCAAATTCATAGAAGGTATCCAAACTGTAAAGGTGGAAAACACAGAGATCTTCTATAATTTAAACATATTTTATAGTTTCTTTTGTGTAAATAGATTGCCTTTTTCATTATGGATTATTTAATGTCTGCAAAAGTCAAGAGCCAGTTATGCTGTAGCTGTATTTCTGGCTACCTGATAAATATGAAATCCAGTTTAATTTATGAGAGGACAGGTAAGTGGCAAGACCTTGATATACAAGATACATGAATGACCAAGGTCAAAAACCATAATAGACTTTTGTGTTCAGAGCTTAAATAATAACTCATAATCAGTAGAGATAGGAGAGAAAATGGAGGTCAAATACTGGTAGAAAGATTGAAGCAGCATGTGCAGATGTTATTCAAACTGACAAAGTAAATATTATTTCAGTGAATGGCACAGTCAAAATGTTGGGGGATTTTTCAGCTCCCATTTGTGATATGCAATAAAACCTCTGCCTGAACTGGAACTACTTATTTTCTAATAAAAACTCAGGAAAGATGTGAATACAGGATTCATGCACACACAATCTGTGTAGGCAGGCGTGTATATATATACACACACATATATATACCCACTCTTGGTCTGGAAAATAGCACCCAAGCTCAGTTTTCATTGTTGCATAAACATGGCTGAATTTCAGCTTTCATTTTCTACTAGAAGTATCATCTCTATCTCCAACCGCAAAAAAAAGAATAAAAAAAGCAAATTATTTCCAAATAATTAAAACTAACCCCTGTCTTTCAGTGCTAGGGGCTTCCATAGCTTCATACTCTCTGAGCTTTGATTAATAAGTCCTTACTTGAAAAAAAATTTTATTAAGCAGGGACTCCAGGGACTATATTCCTCTGAAATTTGTTAGTGGTGCAAGATGGTATAGTTCAGGATTCAATTATGTGCAAGAAAGAAGAGGTACAATTCTTAGTAAAGAAAAAGGAATTAAGCATTCTTTATAGTTTATTTTCTTGAACCATACATTAAACAAAGAGACTCAAATCTGTAGGAAGCCATTCAGGAGCTAGTGTCCATATCAAGATGGATGTCTATGATCCATGGCACAAGGCAAGATCTCAGGAGAAAGACAAAAACTCAGGCTGAAATATAAGTGAAATCATAGGCTATGAAAAGAGTAAGGTGGAGCAACATAAAGCAAGACCTATCTTCAGTCAGAAAACAATATGGAGAGAGAAAGGGTTTCTGAAGTGCTGCCTGAGTTGCAAGCAGAGATGCACAAGGGTGAAGTGGTGCAGCATGGAAAATAGACAAGCAGCAAGTGAAGAGACACTGTTTCCTGAATGAAGAATTTATTTGTAAACCCATTAACTGTTATTCAAACAAATGCACTGTAAAAAAAGAGGAATATGAATAAAAATAGAACTAATACACCCACCTGGTCACATTCCATTGGGACTGACTATATTGGAGGGCAGAGAGCAGGGTAACAGGGCTCACTAACCGTCTTCAAGTCATGCAGATGTATGGCTCATAAACCCATGCAGAATGTGCTCAACAAAATATTTTTAAAGTTAGCCTGGACATTTATGCTTACATAGCATAAGAAGAGAAAGCTTTAGAACTGGTGTAATGTCAGAAGTTACTGCCTTTTACTGGCATATTGCCTTATACCTTCTGGTTGAAGTCTAGCACATACATTAATTCCAAACACATAAATTGTACGTGACAAGTTCAACAACAAAAAGAAAAGCTGTGCTGCCTAAAAAAATGGCAGTCTTGGCTTATCAAATTCTTGGTCACATAATGCAGAAAAAAATTCAACATATTACAGACCCAAATTATAAAACAAATAATCTTTTTGCTGTGCAAGTCCATCTACAGAATCAGAATCAATCAGAATCATTTAGGTTGGAAAAGACCTTTAATATCATCAAGTCCAACCATTAACCTACAGGAACCAAAGGATCTCTTAACTAAAGCTTAGAATAAAGAAATCAATCAATCAATCAAATTTTAAATGAGGAGAAGGATGTGAGTTATTTTGCCTGTCCTTGATGCTTTAAAATGCAGATGTAAATCATATATGACCATTGTGCAAGACTGACATAATTGGATTCAGCAGCCTGATCACTGTACTGTGAATACTTTTTTTTTTTGATACCAAAATTTGGGCAAAAAGGAGCCCAGTCTTGACACAGAGCACTCGGATCCAGCAAGCTGTGGCAGAACAGCTGACATAAAAATGAACATTTAGGAACTATTGGAACATCAGCTCTCAAAGCTGTCCTGGAGCTTTTGAAAAGCAGCCTGTATAATCAGTGAATATATACTGATTAGCAGTGGATTCAAGTGTACAGAAATGTGCAGTCTAAAAACTGTAACAATCAAAAATTAATGTTAAAACATACAGAAATGCAGGAAATTATTTTAGTGATGGCTTGTATGGAGAAGGGAATCATGATCATGTTTGAAATGCACATGTAGTTACTTTTAACTGCTCTCCTACTTACTCAAAACATTTTCAGCTTACTTGCCATAGGAAAGCCATTGTGTTATTTCTGACTAGCATATTTAAACAATAATTTTCTCTCCTAAATTACATAAATATATAAGACTAAGATATAATGCAAAGATGTACCACCACAATCCATACTCTCAGGAAAGTTAGATCCAAATAGAATAGAATTATTCAGGTTGCAAGGTCCAAATTCAGATGCCAATGGGTCCTACTCTACCACTTGAAGCAAGGTCATCTTCAACAACTAATTGCTAACAGTTTTAGAGACAAGGGCTTCCTAAGATAGCTCTGCATTCAATGGCAAGACAAAGAGAGTGAAAGTGCGAAAGAGAGGATCCTCCTTTGACTCAGAATAGGGCTTGCTTTTATTTATTCTGACCTGTCCCTGCAAGGTCTTTTGCAAATTAGATACTTTAGCCTTTTAATGACTAAAGCTAATCTTTGTGCATATGCCATCACATTCATAACCTGTCAAGAGCTTCAGGAAAAAATAGTTTTCAAACTACTCATTGTTCTTACATCTGGACAAAGAAGTTTTGTTCTTCTCTTCCTGAAATAATGGTTGTTTTTTTTTAAGAAGAATCGATGTCATATGGCAAATTTTATGCTCCTAGGCTCCAGATTGGAAAATATTCTAACATTCAAGTAAAGGCAGTGAAAAGAAGCCTATGGCCTCCCCTTTTTTTCGTAAGACTGCACCTAGACAGCAGTGCCATATACCAGGAATGACAAGGGAAGGGGGTCAAGTGGGAAAAGAAAACTGGTATGGATATTATCAACTATGATGTTGATGACAGGTATGGTTACAGGATTTCCAGTGGGACTTACAGTAGCTGTAATACAGAAGCCGTAAAATTTCTTGGGGGATACTAACGGAAATCACACAATTCCTTCCAGAGAAACTCAGAAAACATAACCTTAAGAACTGATTTAATTACTGCTTTTAGGCTGCTATTGCTGTGCATTTTTTACACATCTCTGGATAAAAATAATGGTGTTTTTTTCCCCTGAACCACACTTTGTGGTGCACCTTCTTGTATCCTATGATTGTTGATCTCTTTCTCCCTGGTGGAGTGCGGAGCACAGACACATGTATATGTACACACAGACACACACACACCCCCTCTATTACAAAACTGTTCTTACAACACTGGTTAAAACTAAGTTTTAGCATAAGCCTACATTGTACTCAAATGGCAGTCAATAGTCAATGCTACCATGAAGTACACAAAGCGTGTTTATAAATCTTCAGTGTTTAAATTAATTTCAGGCTGTGCTGCACACTCTTGCATCTACCAGTCTCTTAGGTACCCGAGTTTTAATTGTTTTTCTCTTTGACATAATGAATGCCAGAAAGTAACCCCGAAGCACTCATTTTGCATCATAAATCACAGTATCTTTTTAAAAGGGAAGGATAATTACAACAAAATAGCAGTTCAAAACTGCTTGGAATTTACTTCTTACCATTGACAAATAGCAGAGAAAATAATTGCCTAAAGACAATGTACAACATTGATTTAGATGACTTGTTATGCACACATAGTGAATTCTATGAAAACAACCTCCTTTCTAAAAAAAAAAAAAAAACCACCAACCAACCAACAAACCTGAGAACTCTTCACGCTCCTGACAAATTAATTTGTTCAGAGCAAAACACTGCACATTTGTAATTCCTTGTCTGTTTCTTAAAAGCCAGTGTGTCACATCTCGTCTGCACTCCGTATATATGTGTTGCAGTTTCTTTTAAAGAAAGCTTCATTTTAGCAGCCTGCTTTCTGATTGCTCTTCTTATCCCTCATAAGAGATGTCTTTCCTTGTTTTTTTTCCTTTTTAGCTCTTTTAGTTTTGATGGAAATATGATAAGATGCCATGGTTATATGAACTACTGTGTTCTGGTACTGTTCTGTTCATTTACTCTCTGGTATGGAACCTGTCTATACAGATTCTGCTGCTTTAGCTGAAAGCTGCTCGAGATCAGATAAAGTTATACTTGAAGATATGATGATCTCTTATAATTGCTGTCCCAGAAAACTACTATTTGAATCATATAATAGCCATCAGATTGTACTAGACTTGTTCTCATGAAAATCCAAGAAGAGTTGCCTTGTTCTTATTCTAAGGGAATATGAGGGAAACTGAGGCAGTTATCACTGTTCAAACTTGTCAGCCTGAAGATAGTTCAGGTATGTCTATATGAGTTGATGTTACTTTTGTATTTATTTGTGCTGTTATTTTTAAATAGCAATGAAGGCATAGCCTGCATGGTATAGGCAAGCTCTTTTACCCCACTTTTTCTGTTCTTCATCCCCAGTCATTCCTCTCCCTTTTTTAGATCCCATATACAGTGTTTGAGACCTGTTTCATTAGGCTAGCAGCTTGGTTAAAATCACTAGGTTTTGTACCTTCAAGCAGACCGGGCAAACACTCTGATTTGCAGGGTCCAGATTTACAACCATCTCATCTGCAGCTAGCAGAATGAGACTGCAATTTAATCTGAAGGTCTCCAGATACTACTGAAGTAGAAACGACATGAAGGGTGGAAAGGGTGTACAAAAAGCAGGTCCACCTGCGACTTCCTCAAAGATGGATATGGTCCGAGGGATCTGAATACAACTTCATTCTCTCCCAAATGTTCTGTTTTCCTCCCCATTATAAGCTTCTTTGTGAGCTCTCTTGTGAATACGATCCTTAGCTGCAACCAACTCCATTCATGCATGTACCAAGCTACCCATACCTTCTTCCTCTTCCACTCTCCTGTACAGTGAGTTTCCCATTGCAGATTCACCATACTCAAGAACCAGTACTCAAACTGTAAAATAAAGAGCAAACAATAATTTTTAGTATGCGAAGGTTTTACAAAATACTCTCAACAGAGGTTTACTTAATAGTAGTATTTTATTTGTAGCATTGTATTTGTAGTATTTTATTTTGACACAGATTCTCCTGGAAGGCATGCTAAGGCACATGAAAAACAAGGTGCTTGGTGACAGCCAGCATGGCTTCACTAAGGGGAAATCCTGCATGACCAATTTGGTGGCCTTCTGTGATGGGGCTACGGAATGATGGACAGGGGTAGAACAGTTGATGTCATCTACCTGGACTTGTGCAAAGCGTTCAACACTGTCCCACAAGACATCCTTGTCTCTAAACTGGAGAGATATCGATTTGATGGATGGACCATTCGGTGGATAAAGAACTGGCTGGATGGCCGCACACAAAGAGTTGTGGTCAATGGCTCAATGTCCGGCTGGAGACCAGTAACAAGTGGTGTCCCTCAGGGATCAATGCTCAACATCTTTGTTGGTGACATGGACAGTGGGATTGAGTGCACCCTCAGCAAGTTTGCCAATGACACCAAGCTGTGTGGCTCAGTTGATACCCTGGGGGGAAGGAATGCCATCCAGAGGGACCTTGACACGCTTGTGAGGTGGGCTGATGCCAACCTCATGAAGTTTAACCATGACAAGAGCAAGGTGCTACACCTGGGTCGGAGCAATCTCAGGCACAGCTACAGGTTGGGCAGAGAAGTGATTCAGAGCAGCCCTGCAGAGAAGGACTCGGGGGTGTTGATCAATGAGAAAATGAACATGAGCTGGCTTCAGTGTGTGCTTGCAGCCCAGAAAGCCAACCGTATCCTGGGCTGCATCAAAAGGAGCGTGACCAGCAGGTCAAAGGAGGTGATCCTGCCCCTCTACTCTGCTCTCGTGAGACCTCACCTTGAGTATTGTGTGCAGTTCTGGTGTCCTCAACATAAAAAGGACATGGAACTGTTGGAACAAGTCCAAAGGAGGGCCACGAGGATGATCAGGGGACTGCACCTCCCATATGAAGACAGGCTGAGGAAGTTGGGGCTGTTCAGCCTGGAGAAGAGAAGGCTGTGTGGAGACCTCCTAGCAGCCTTCCAGTATCTGAAGGGGGCTTATAAGGATGCTGGGTAGGAACTCTTCATTAGGGACTGTAGTAATAGGACAAGGGGTAACGGGTTAAAACTTGACCATTGAGTAACTTGAATTAATGAATTTAATGAATTTCATTTTAATTAGCAAAATTATTTCTTACAATATACAACATTGTTACTTTTAAACTTCACTTGCAATATTAAAAAAAAATACTACTCCCTGCAAATTAGCAAAAAAGCATTTTTAATTTGTTCTTCTAATATAAGATCTGCCCAAAGTAAATTGTGATTGTGTAAAATACCTCTTCTTGGAGCAGAAGAAAATCAGAAATATAGTTTATATGAAACAGTTTTGTGCTCTCAAGAAGGGCATCAAACCAGGCTTGTTTTCCTGGACTGAAGCTCATAGGGGCAGGAAAGTGCTGCCACAGGCATCTGTGAGAGGAAGGAATAAATTATTTTCTTCAGGATACTTTGGACAGAAGAGTAAGAAGTTAAAACTGAGGGGGGCACCCTTAGCAATTACACAGAATTGGATTATTTACTACTAGAGATGACGCTTGGTTTGAAGCCAAACACTCACAGGAAGAGCATGTAGAGGGCAGGAAGGAGAACTGATTAACTACCTAGGGACAGTGTCAAACAAAAAGATGTTGCAAAGAGAATGATTGGAAAACCCATGAAGTGTGGGAGCACCCAACTTCAAAAACTGACTGGGAAAATTCTTTTCCATGTAAGGTTTCTTTAGTTTCTTTTTAGTGTATCTTTTCATAGCAATCAGTCATCATCATACTGGAGCTGATGCACAGAAATCCTGTTTCTGTCATTAAAAAAAATAAATATGTTACATTGTCAGTATGCTCATTATAAAAGAATGTTTCACTTACAAGTTAGATAATACTTTTCCTAATGACTGAGATGATAGTAAAACCCCTTTTCAAGACTGTTTTTACTTAACAACGAGCAAATGGAAGTGACAACAGTCAGAATACTAAACTGACACCAGAAATGAGAATTTCCAAATAATGTGTAGATGTTGAAAGCACAATTTATGTCTTTGGACATATTACTACAAAATTCATCATTGCTGAACCATCATTGTGATGACATTTTGTAGAATAGCTTTTCATTAGCAGGATGTTTTGTTTCCTTTGCTTATTTATTAGTTGTGTGGTTTGGCAGCAACTATTGTAAAATAGTTCTCCAGAAGAAAGTATCACATATTTTCTTATTTTTTTTATTATTGAAAATATATAAACGAAGGTCTTTCTCCTTTGCTGTACCACTAATATTCAAAGCAACAGATTAACTGACATATCAGTGGTCCATCTTGGACTGGCTCTTAGGGAACCCCTCTCCAGCATTTGCAAGTTCCTAAGACCAAGAGCTCAGCAACAGAATGACTTGACTTAGAACAAAGCTGTCTGCAATCTGTATTCTATGGTTAATGCATGGAAGCACAGGGTTTTTTCCCCTCATAAAAAAAAAAAAACAAGCAAAGCAAATCTACAATGCCATGGGATACCTAATCTTGTCTCACAAAGTTCTCCAGCCTTACTCTTATCATGACAATACATTTCAACAGGCACTTTTATCAGTATAAATATGTCACTCAGCTACTAATTATGACTACGGAAACAATTTATTGAAGGCGAGTTAGATAGCAAATTGGAATTGGAGGTCAGTATGGTGAGAGGTGGACATTAACCAAGGAAAAAACAAAGGGATCCAAACACATCTGAACTGCAAATGGGGTTTAACTTCTTCACTTGCATCCAAACAGTAATGTGACTTCTGTAAAAGGCCTGAAGAAGGATTCAGACTGAATATACTCAGGCCTTGGAGTTAAAATTTGAAATGCATGTACATAGGATTTAAACTGTGGGTCCTACATGGTTAAATTAAATACTTCAAGTTTCTGTCAGGAAAGCATTGGTATGTTGAGCATTGCTGCAGTGATTTCAGCAACAGTAACAAAGAGAATATTCATTTATGGCACAAACACTTTTAATATCAACATGAATGATGTGCAGAAATGGTTGAGGAGAGAAACATTTAAACCAAACATATCTAAATGTTTGAGAATCTTTCGAGAATAGCCAGACACCTTTGTTTTACGCCTGAATATACCGCAGCAGGTCCCCTCCTTCTCGCATTGCAGAGCTACTTTGGCATTTGATGTGGTTACCATTAACCCCACAGCTTCAAGTAAGTTAGGCAGCAGCTTCTGATGGACTTTTAACAGTATATACATGCATAGAATTGCATAAATAGCCAAGTCACATACAGTACCGGCCATACTTTGATGCAGATTCAGTTAAGTAGTGCTGGCAGGAAACGCAACAGCAGAAAAAATGTCAGAAGTGGCAGACAAAATACAGCTTTCCAGAAGGACAAACAGTAAAATGAACTAATCTGCAGTCAGCAAAACAAATGTATTTGACTGCCTTATTTAGATTCACCTGAAAACGACCTGAAATACCAGGCTCTCAAGTTTATGCTGATTCTTTTCTGTTGGCATCCCTATGAAAACCAAAAGAATTTTCTCTATCCGTAAGTTTGTACATTATAGCTAATAGATTGTTGCCCACACAATGACATTTATTTTCTCTTAATAATGAAATTCTAAATAAAGCTGTCATTCTCCCTCATAAAAACTGACAGCCCAACCCCCAGATTCACTAAAAAAGGGTCCTTATAAAACCACTTTTCCTTTTCTTAATCAGTTGGTTTCAAAACAAATTTCTTTATCCCTTTTCAGACAACCCATTCTTACCCCAATTAAAATGTTCAGTTTTGTACTCTGTATTCAGCGGTGGTCTGCCGGTTAAGTCTGTCAGTTCTTCCAGCTGCTCATCCCTCCTCGCAAAATTATATCCACAGCTGCCTGTTCCCAAAGGAGCATGTCTCCAAAATTCTCATCTATGAAAATGTTACTCATATAGATAAGAAGATAAAACCAGGATACCAGATGTCAAGAAGTATGGGGAACTGCAACTACCTTTAGAAATATACATACTGTCAAACTACATAGGATCTAAATAGCATCCTGAAAGCATGGGAAAATTGATCAACTAGAAGAAACGGGCCTTTATGGAAATACCAGACAGTGTAAAAGAAGGTTTTCAGAGCTACACAGAAATGACAGAAAAGCTGGTGTCTTGGAGAAAATAAAACCACAGACTTCCTACTGTTTCAGAGCAAAGTATGACAAACATGAGTACCAGAGAAAATGTCATTAAAGTTATACTTGGGAAAAGCTCTAAGTGTGCATCAGCCAAGATAATATCAGTGGGAAAATGGCTTCAAACCACCAGTGGGTAAAACAGCAAGATATACTTAGAAACATATGCTCACCTTGAATAAATAATGCAGAAAGGAAAAGATTTAAGTAATCAGTTTGCATGTTTCAGGATTCCCAGAAAGCTTTTCAGCCCATCTTGTGTGAAAGTGTATACTGGGGTGTAGCTATGGCTGTTGCTGTCAGGGTGTATTCTCATGGAAATTTCTAACTGAATCACTCAGTGGGCACATTTACATGGCAAAAAGCTGTAGAAAATACTCCCAAAGACAGAGGAAAGTTATACTGCCAAAACTGTTAAGCCCTAAGTGGGTTTCCAAATAAAATTCATTTGCTCTATTGGGTGCCACTTGAATGAGTCAACAATAAACTAAGGCACTAGTTAAAGAAGGCCTTTTAATATGGAAAAGTATCTTTCAGCTTCTGAAACAGCAATCCCCTTGAGAATAAATTGAAAGGTGAGACTTGTGAAAGGCTTTGTCCAGTTTCAACCCAGTGCCTTTCATATGTTTAGAGATGCATTCTACTGTTGCTGCATATCAAGTTTGTGGCTTTAGTGTGGTTTTCATCAGTTGCACAGAGCAAAAGAAACATTTCTTTGGACTTTAGACAGCTTTTTAACATTTTCCGTATTGTGGTTAACCTTCTAACATACAGACCCATTCATGGACAACTTTCAATTCCTCTCTTATTAACCTCATCTCACGCCTTTTCCTTCAGAAGTTCATCTGCTTGAGTACATGAAAAGTCCACAGAAGGTAAGATTAAAACGAACTTCTTCCAGTGGAGGGCTGTTGTGGAGGTTATAATTAATTCCATACAGCAATGTGTCTTTGGAGGCCGACTGTTATATTTGGGGTGTATGGCTGACATACTATTGATGGTGACTTCAGGAAACAAAAATCTGTGATAAAAGCAAGTATATACAACCTCTTTGATTGTGATGAATGCCACAAGACTTTGGAATTGTATATACATGCTGGGCTAAATTCTTTCTTCTCTAAAAATACCAGTGCAATACCAGATGTGAATCTTGAATCTTAGGGAATTTGGTTACTTGAGCTCCCAAAAACATTCCAGAATATAATTTCAGCATTATTAAACAGCTGTTACAGAACTGGACCTCTTGTCCTTCACCTCTAACTCATTTTCTGTAAGAATGTTTTCTCTTTGGTTACTTGAAAAGTGAGAGCATTTAATACCTTACCAAGAACTATCAGCTGCTAAAACCTTGCTTGAACTCACTCAGTCTCCTAAGGTTCACCCTTAACTACCACAACCGAAAGACCTCCACTGTTTTTTTGCCCATGTGATTCCGTGATTCTCTCTGTGCTGTTTCATGAGCACTGTGATAACATTTCAAATGTATTAACCATGATGCCTTTTTGTCACATTTTACCCACTTAGCAAGTTGAAAATTAGACTGAGAGCCTAGTTTGAGAAGGGAGCAATATTTTCAACAAACACACATTTCAAACTCCCACATCTTGAAAAGTACCATACCCTCTAATTTCCTATTAAATGGAAAGGTCCCTGTGTAATATCACCCTCTTTTCTACTTATATATTTAAATGCTTAATTACAACCTTTTTATCCTATGTATAAAAAAAAACATTTTCCACCTCATACCAAAGCTTCCCAGCTTTCACCAGCTTTACAGTGGAGACTCAGAAGGTGGAATTAGTTTCACTAACTCATGCTTTAGAAGTATGCATCAGACTGAATTTTGGTGATGTTTGCGGGCACAGATTATGTTGTTGGGGGCTTTATCTTTTTGGTGAGACATAGACCAAAAGCTCAGTTGCAGTCGTGGTGATCTTAAATTCTGCCTAATATTTCGTTTGATTCCAACTCAGTTCTTTAAAATTCTTTGTTTTCTGTTTAAATGCTTTGTTGCTATTTAAATTTTCTATTTACAGAACATAAACTTTGACAAACAACAGCAAGAATTAACATATACTGAATATATGAAAAGAGCCATAGCCATCATCCTCACAAGCACAGATAAAATTTGCTGCCAGATCTTCTCAATATTCATAGCAGTATTTGAAAAAAAGCAAACCTAAAACCCACCCATCTGCCATGAAAGGAATTTTTCATGTTGATCTTTTCCCAGCCAAACAGGGTAGGTGGA